ACTTTTATTAGTGAGAGTTATGGACATAAATACCGATGCATCAGCTCTTCAACTCGTGTTGTTTGTGCATAAATTTTTGGATGTCTTTCTTGAATGAGCTTCCTGTCAAACACTCTGCCCATATCTGTTTCGCCTTATTGAATGACTGACAGAGTTAAAGGAACTAAAACAACATTTATAAGACTTCTTAGAGAATGATTTCATATAGCCAAGTATATTGACTAGGGGTGTACCGGTCTTATTTGTCACAAAGGAATATGATTTACTTGGTGCATTAATTTTTTCATGGCATTGCATTTATATATTTGGTCGGATCGTGCTTCTCCACAATTAATTTAATTTAAATATCTATTCAAATTCATCATCTTTGTATATAATTCTTTTACAATCCAATATCTTGGTAAAAAATAGTAACTTACCAGTCGGCTATTAGAGTTTAACCATATTTTAAATTGTACTAGCAAAGTAGTCACTTATTAATGTTAAAATACAAGTTTGGATAAAAATACCATTATCAAAAAAATACGGAACAACTCCAGGAATGACTACTGAACTTTAAATATTTATAAGTTTAAAATTCAAAAATTGTTCTTGGAGTTTGAATGGCTTGAAGCAATAACTCTCACTTGTTGAAGAATAATGTGAATTTAAAAAAACCATGAATCGTTCATGAATTTTCTTGGATTTTGCACAAGTAAATGTTCAAAAATTAGTATTGTTTTTGGATTTAGTATATAAAATTAACAAATCGAGAAGTATAATATGAATTCAAAAATCATGAATCGTTCCATGGATTTTTCTAGATTTTGCACTAGTAAATATTCAAATATCAGTAATTTTCTTGAATGTTATATTTAAAGGTTAAAAATTACTGAAGTATAATGTGAATTTAAAAACCATGAATCATTACTGAATTTTATTGAATTCTGCAGTAGTAAATATTCAAAAACCAGTAATTTTCCCGAATTTTGTATTTATAGGTTAAAAACTGCTAAAGTATACGGTAAATTCAAAAATCATGAATCATTCTTGTTATATCCCGTACTTTAATATTAGGATAAGTCGTAGTAACCCCTATGAGTTCGAAGGGATTAAGACCATTCATGAGATTATATAGGTAAAAAGAGGAGGATAATACTTATCATTTCTAAATTTAACTTTCTAAATGGCTTCATAATGTTCTTGAAATGTAAAATAGAGGGTAATGCTTACCCACTAATTATTATTTTTATTTGATTTCTTTCCTATTCATCTGGTTTATGGGAATGAAAGGATCTTATGATTGAAGCTTTCCATTATTTGGACTTTTTGACACCATTGGCTAACTTGCACATTTTTGAATGTAAGTATAGCATCTACTTTTTTGAACACTTAGAAACTTGATTCCTCCTTTTAGCAACTTTAAATAAAACGGAGCGACATGGTCAGAAATCTAACTAAATACTTGTGTCAAAAATTGAGATTTTTATTCGTGACTATATTATTGTAAGACCCGTTAAGTTTAACAACCTTGATACCGTTAGATATTTTGTTAGTGTGGTATTTTCTTTTAAGTGAAGTATTTTAGTAAAAGTTTTATAAGTATAATTTTGGATAGTTACCATTATTACTATTTTCGGATATGGTAAATTATACTCATAATATAAGAAAGTTTATGAGATTTTATTTATGCTAAAGATATAAATTATTTTCGCACAAGAAAAGAAGGTTATCTTTTTATCATTTTAAGAATTAAGCATACGAAATTTTTTACTCTTTATATGAGATTAGAAAAATTAGAAGTTGAGAAAATATATGTATTTTTACATGGATGTTTTAATGAAATAATAGTGTATGTATTGATTTTATATGATACCACATGACCATAATAGTAAAGTATATTATAGTAAGGTATATATAAAGTATATTAAAAGTGAGTAGTATTTTAAGTAATTTGAGATAATTTTTAATTAAGTGGATAAGTGTAAAAATTGTCTTGTCCACGTGGGACCATGACAACTAAAGCAAAGTGTGACTAATATATGTATTATATGGGTGTCACCTTTGGAGATAAGAATGTTTGCTAAGCATTGAAATTTATAAGTGGAAGAGCCACATTTTAAGAGATGCATTGTTACTTAGAAAGCAGAAGCTGATTGAGGGAGGGACAACGAAGAATGGGAAAATTCTTCCTATTACTAGACAGATGGTTTTTTTATCATTCGATGCATTGGCCTTCGATGGATTTCATTGGGTTTATGAAAGAGAATGATGGGTTTGTACATATTCATTGGGTTTTCAAAGGATATCATGGAAAATAATTATGGGTTCTCTATATGAATGAGAAACGAATATGATTTTGGTTTGAAAAGTAGTATATATACGGTCACACTACTCTGAAGAATGAATTTCCCCATTTTCTCCGTTGTGAAGGCTAAAGAGGCTGCTATATCGGAGTTCTTTGAAAGGATTGATGTTTAAGTATTTTAAGGAAGTACAGTGCAATCCTTCCCAAAAATATCATACGTATTTTCTCTACTCCAGGTATGTTAAGGCTAATCCTTCTTTCTTTTGGCATGATACAAGTAACGATACGTAAACATAATGATATTCCATAAGTTGTTCCACTCTTATCAATTAAGGATGTCTATGTTATTCATTCTCGTAAAGTGATATTCAAGCATGTCTAAGTATGTATCTAGTAGTATTTGATAAAGACGTTAATGTTTATAATATAGTAATACATGCATCTTCATGCATTTACCACCGGACTACGGCTGATCGGCAGTTACCACCGGTTGGGCAGTTATGTATCATTATTTGCCGCCGGTTGGGCAGTCATGCATATTCATTTACCACCGAGCTACGGCCGGTTGGGCAGTTATATATTTACCACCGAGCTACGGTCAGTCGGGCAGTCATGCATTTACCACCGCGCTACGGCCGGTCGGGCAGTTATCACTGATCAGTTAGGTAGTCATCCATCATACGATATGGATAAGAGTATTAAAGAAAAGCAATATATATATGTAAGTAGAATAAGTATGCATATGTAGTGGCACTTCAGAGATTCAGGTTGATTCCTATATGTCTTTAATTAATGTTGAATTATGGTTATGTTTCAGTTTTGCCTTACATACTCAGTACATTATTCGTACTGACGTCCTTTTATTGGGGACACTGCATTCATGCCTGCAGGTATAGATAATCAGTTTGACGAGCCCTCATAGTAGACGAGATTGGCATTTAGTGAAGGATCGGTAAGACTCCACCTCGATCGAAGTGCAGCCGAGTCTATGAGTCATCGTGTCAGAGTTTTGCTACAGACTTATGGGTAGGCCGGTACCTTGTCCTATTTGATGTCGCATAATCTTAGAGGCTTGTAGACAGAGGTTCATTTTGTACAGTATGTCAGAGGCCTTGACGACCCATATGTATCCATGTTTTACGAAAAATGGTTCAGTGATACAGTATTTGCCCACCTACCGTTGTACATTACGAGTTGTGGCCATGTTGGCCCATGATAGTTACAAAGACAAAAAAATATTGCAGAGTGGTTCGCTCGGGCCACTGCGGCATCAGGTGCTAGTCACACCTCCCTAGGTTTGGGGCGTGAAAGTTCTTGAATTTTTTCAGATTTTGCACTACTAAAAGTTAATAGCTGTTCATGGAGTTTGGATTTTGTCATAGGAAATGTTCAATTTGAACTCCGGTATGGATTACTACTGGAGTTTTGTTGAAAAAATAACATGGGCTAGCAAGTTTTCGGACTGGTCATTCAAAAATAGCCAGCGTTTACAAAGTTATTGAAAAATAGTCACTATTTGCTGCAACACGGAAAGTTCCAACATAATATACTGGAGATCAATGCACCTGTGTATGAACTTCTAGCATATTATGCTGGAACTCCAATACATGGAAAGTTCCAGTATAATATACTGCTGGACCAGTATATTATACTAGGGTATTTTTTCGGATTTTGAACAGTATTTTTGTTCAGATTTATCTTTACATGAAAATGGCTAAATTTCGGTTACTTTTGAAAACTATGACTATTTTTAAATGACCACTTGTAATTTTGGTTATTTTTAAATTTCTTCCAGTTTTATTCCGTGTTTTAATTAGGGGCAAATACATTAATTTAATGGTATCGGCGATTACTTTTTCATTGCAATTTAAAATATGGCTGCACTTAATTTTACCTGGATGAAACACTAGGGGTGTCAATGGATATTCGAAAACCGACTAAACCGACCGAACCGTACCGCACCGAATCGATTTTTAGGTTTCTTTTTAAGAAACCGTAGGTTTTTATATAANTCTACTTCTGCTTAAACTAAGTTATTTCAAGTATCTTTATTAGTAAGACCCAAAGTATTCTAGCGATTATGACTAGCAAACTACAATGTATTGAATATGTTTCCTTTCATATAATTTGGATTTATCTTTTTGAATATTTAATCTTCTATAGACTTTATTCTCGAGTCCCAACTTGGTATATCTTTCAACTCGTGTGATTTATATTTTCTTTGCCTTTGTTTGATTTCTTTTACGCTGTTGTAGAATAATTGGTGGATCTATACTCTAGCCATCTCTTCTTCTTTTTTTAATTCATCTCCCTTTAAACAGTAAAAATGTCTAGAGAATTTTGCTAAGTCCTATAAAAGAACGTATGTTATTGCATTCTACTTCTACTGGTGAATTTTACATGATATAAAAAAATACCGAAAATTAACCGAACCGTACCGATACCGAAGAGAAATCGACATGATTGGAACGGTTTCTAAAAATCTAATTTTGGTTATACATAATAGAATAACCAAAAAATTGGTATGATACAACTTTTATAAAATAACCGGCCGAACCAAACGACACCTAATAACGAGCAGAGAACTTGTTGACCCAAAACTAATCAAACAAACGGGGCGACCCGGGTCGTATCGAGAAAGTTCTTTGCTTCGGACAAAGGAAAAGAAAAAATCAAATTTACGCGTTCGGATTAAATTAAAAGAACTTTCCAATTCTACACGAATTTACTCTCTCTCCTCCGTTGAAAACTCATAAAAGTCCAACAAAAAAAGAATTCTTTTTTCAATATTAAACGAAGAAGAAGATGTAGTAAGAATAAAAAAGCGAAATTCCGATAAGATTACCAAATCCAAACTCTGACTTCCGATAATCTATAAATTCGCTTTCTTAGAACTTTTTTTATTCACATTTTCCAGAAAAGTGGGAATCCCCTTATCGCTAATTCTGCTTTAAATTTGTGTGGAATATATTACCAAATCTGTTTGGCCCTAGCTTTCTGATTTCTTTTACTGGTAAGCAATTGCTTTTCTTCAATTTCTGATTTTATGGTGTGTCTGGATATTTGAAAATCAGTTTCTTATGGATTTGGATATTGAAATTGGAATAGATTTGATTTATAGATAAGCTTATACATTGTTTGGTTGATGAAATTTGGTTAATCGTTTGGTGTTTTGATAATCTTAGCATGATGAATTGTCTAGATTGGAATTTGTAATGGGATGTTGTTTGAGAAAAAAAAGACTTTTCAAACATGTGGTCTAAGATAAGTTATAAATATTTTTTTATCTATAAAAAATATCATCTCATTACGTATAAACTGAGAAGCTTAAAGTTAAATTGTTTTTAAGTATAGAAAGGTACATGCGGACTAAAAAGGAAAGTGTATAACATAAAGTTAAGTATAAACTGAGAAGCTTAAATTAAATTGTTTTCAAGTGTAGAAAGGTACATACGGACTAAAAAGGAAATTGTATAACATAAAGTGGGACAAAGGGAGTATTATTCTTTGAAGACCAAAATATTGAAGAATTGTTGACTCAATATGAGGACAGTGCTTGGTATTTTAGGCATAGATAGAAGAGAAGTATTTCAAAATGTTACATATTTGATCTGTTCAGTCCATGAATTTTGTTTTGATTGGTGTAATTTGGGAACTTAGAGTCAAAATGGTGTAGGATTGGTATGAATATTTGATTTTTGATTTTGGTAATGGTGCAGCTATGCAGAGTCAGTTGGTGTGCAGTGGGTGTAGGACAATTCTTCTTTATCCGAGAGGAGCTACTAATGTCTGCTGTGCAGTGTGCAACGCCCTCACCCCTGTCCCACCTCCTGGTATCTGTCTTTTCTGCCTCTACTATCAGTGCTGTGTGATAAGAACATGCATCACTAGTTTATTTGGCACTTCTTTGATACTATTTCTGTCTAGCCAATGGTGAATGAAAGGGAAAAAAAGAAGAAATAGTAATATCTTGAAACTATAAGTTCATCTTTTGGAATTTGGTTAACTGCTCTGTTGGGAGCTGACACGCACGACTGCACATAGATTAAGTTGGTGGTGGAATTCCCTCCTCTTTTCCCCCCTCCCCCCACAAAAAAAAAAAAAAGAGTGTGTTACGAGTTCAAGCTAATGCCTATTCCAGCAGAATGGTAGTCAAAAATATTTAAGGACTTGGAACTTAATTTCATTATGTTTTGTCTTAGAGGAAATAAAATGGAGTTTATTACGACACAAAACTCGTCATTACAAGTGTTTTTTAGATACGATATATCGAGCTTCTGGTTGAAATGGATTAGTGATCAGCTGTAGACAGTATACTGTATACTGGGAAATGTGTTAGCATATGCTAGTCAGTGATCAACTAAAATTTTGCTTTTGTAAGATAGGAAAGTTGTTCCATCGCAAATTTGGTCCCAAAGTGCAAGAAGTAACTTGCTTAATAAAATACTAACCAGAAAACAAGAAATCTAATATGCTAAGAAATCTGATAGTCATCTTCAAACATAAAGAGAAGCGCATAAGCTAAAGAATGGAGCTAGACCCTTGGTTAAACACTTATTTCCTGACAGTGTCTGATGTCTCTGACGTCTGATAAAGGGTGTTAGATAGTTATGTAAATAAGCTTAGTCCCACATAGAATATGTGTAGAATATGTATTGTGTATAGTTATAAATAGGGCTATTGTAAAACACTTCATAGAATATATCAATAATATATTTTTCTCCCGTGCCTTGTCACGAAGGGTAATGGAGCTGACAAATGCATCTTTTCTCTTATTTGAGTTCTACATCAAACAAGTGGAAGAACAAGAATTTGAACTTATGTAAAAATGCTCAGCACCACTCGGCTACTCTTTCCTTCGGGCTTAGGTCCACATCATGGGTTCTAATGTGAAGGGACCAACATCTTGTTCCAATCAAAGCTTATTGACTTAATCGAAAGGAATTTAGACGATTAGCTTAGCTAGTGTTTTAAGAACATCTAAGTGGATTTCTTATAACCGAGAAATCTCTGGTGAGTTTGCTGGCCCAACCTCGGTTAGTCCACAAGTTCAGTGCTTTGGGTGTATGAACTGCCCCTCTGCTCTGCTCCCACTTAACTACTAGATTCTTTGTCGGCGAGGCAAGGGAGCGACTTATCTGGTCTTGTGGTGCAGTCTTTACATCACAAGAATGAAATGACCCTAGAGCTTGACTCGGGCTGAAGACTCTTTACAACTTGCACCGAGAGCGGCATTGAGTGGCTGAAAATTGATCGAAAATGCAGGCCCGACCAACTTCCCATCCCATAACAGCCTATCTAATCGTATTCATAGTTCGATTGGAGGTCAAAACTGCGGTGAGAGTGAGGTCTGAACTCGTGGCATGCTCCATATCCATGCATTCCAAGTGTGTCGTTATCACTGAACCAAAGCCCTGGGGGCAGGAGAATCTAAAAAGAAGTATGAGAAGTGTTTGTCAAGTTTTAAACTTCTTTCTACGGAAAGTGAGTGGAACACAAGTTTTGCTAACATATTTGCATAGGAGCTGGGAAATCAATTGATAGCAAAACATATTATCTACAAAGGCTCTGCATTGGAGACTGGGGTATGAATCTTGGGCTCTTAAGAGCAGTGGTAAGTATTGACCGGATAAGTAAATCAAGAGATAATTGGAAAAGATAGATTTTCTTATTTGTGCAAGAGCTAACTCTAGGCGTTTTTATTCTTGGTTGATGATGTTGGTATAAACCGTATTGGTTTTTGATGTCAGCTTGGTTATGTTCTTTGTTTCAGTTTTTGGCAATTGTGCTATTACATCTTTGGAACTTGCAGAATATCAGTTTCTTGTACCTTGTAACTAAAAGAAGCTTATGATGGACTTTTAGCCAAACAAATGCTAAATATTCTATAGCTTTTATAATGCTAAATATTTTAGGACTTCTATAATAATTTGACTCTAAAGACAAGTATGAAAAGTCAGAAATGCTTTGCCCCTAAAGATGATAGTCATATTGTTTTGACCAGCAGCCTATGAGAAAGACAGAATGCCTATATATTTAAACCAGTTCAATGAAACATGCCTCAAATTTCATCCATGTACATTCTTTATTACTTCTACGAAAGTTATTGGCTATGAAACAACTCTAAGCGCTAATTCCCTTTTTTTTCCCGAGAAAAGGTGAGTAGACTTGGGGCTCTAATTACGTTAGAGTATCACAGCATTTCTATCGGCATTTTTAGATAGAGAATTTCTATTCTACCCTATTCCATTTGAACACGGTTCAAAGCTTCAGTCATTTCCAATGAGATGTCATCTCTTCCTTTTCATTTGCCCAGATCAATGACCCAAACTGCTTATTTTCTGAAAAAGATTTATTCTTATTATGAGAAGAACCCCCCCTCCCCGAAATATAAAAAGGCCAAAAAAACATGGATTTTACAGAGGTGAAAACTTAGCATTTAGAAGATTAGAAAACTAAATGGTAGTGTCTTTATTTGATAAGGTACAATCTGAAGTAGAGAAAAAGAAATGATATAGGAAATCAACTTCATACCATTAGCTACTATCAACTATCAAATCATCATCATGCCATAAGATCAGCAAGATTACTAGCATCCACCGTTTAATAGTACAAGCAAACAACATGAAGTTCCACAACACATTACGACATATTGCCTCATCTTGCTTTTGTAGTTTCCATCCATGAAGTGGAAGCTACAAATTGCATTGGTGTGCATGAAAGGCAGTTTTATGAGCCTCTAACTGCAAACTCATTGAATTCGGTCAGTGCATATCTGTGAAACGATCCAAAATTGAAAATTATTAAACGTGGGGTTTGGTTTTATTTTGGTTGGCTAGGTGAATTCATCCACGGGTTTGGTCTGGTTTGGGATCTATAGGATTTGAGGGAAAGTTGTAATAATATATTTTCCCCCCTTATTGTGGCTTTCCTTTTTGGTCCAGCCAATGCATTTTTTATTATGTTCTTTCCATTTTACTTTTATAAAGGAGCATGTTTTCTCTTGGCTAAATTTGAATATCTAAAAAGTGGTCAGAAAATGTCTTTGAGACAAATGAAGTGAAGCAAGAAAGGAAAATTATTTTATTGCGCATTATTAAAAACAAAGATTGAATGTGGTTGTTAAACTTTAAGATCTTTGCATCTTTTTCAAGACTTATTTTACAAGTGCTACTCTAAAATAAAGTTTGAAATAGGTGTTTTTTAAATAAATTTTAGGGTGGTGACATCTGGGCTAGTTTGAGCGCACTTCAATTAATCTATTAAGAAGCATGCTAGAAGCCCATAACCCACAAGCACATGTGCCAGACAATCTTGCATTCTTGCTCACGAGGGGTTGGAGATAGACTTACACAGAGTGTTGTAGCTAGAATTTGAACCAAGATTCTCCAGGTTGTTGCTCCTATATCTCAAACGCTCAAGCCATCCTTAGGAGAAAATTTCTCTTTAGACAATGAGATTCCCCCCCCCCNTCTTCCCCATCAATCAAGCAGTTCGCATCCCTCCCCAAATAAAACCCAAAGGAGAAAAAACTGATTTGATAATCACGGTGAGGAACTATGTATCATCTTATTGCAAACAGTCCCAGATGACACCCGTTCGCTGCACGATATATGTCTTATGCCTTACACTTTACCGTTCTTCCAGTGTTGCTTAAATTCTGTCCATTATGCAGGAATGGAAATGGCTCAGTTGATATGTGGAGGCTGTCGCACCTTACTGATGCATCCACGTGGGGCAACTAGTGTGAGATGCGCCTGCTGTCATACGGTGAACCTTGTGCCAGGTACCTTTTGCTTTAGAAATTAAAGAATCACAGTCTGATTTGGAAATTTAGCTTCTCCTCCTGGAAGCCCTCGTCTTACTTTCCTTTGAGGATATTTTCATATCTAGCTTATGAGAATATCTACTGTATCTTGACTTCCATTTGTTTTACATTCTTCCAGTAGGATCTTACATTGAGATTTGAATCCCCTCCCCCCCCCACCCCCCNCCACCCCCCACCCCCCCAAAAATAAAAGAAAAAAAGAAAAGAAACCCCAAAAAAGAAAAGAAATCTGTTGTTTTCCATGCTGATGAAGAATGTTTATTATGCAGAAGAAAAAAAAATTACCTTCTTGATGTAAGTTATGCAGATTGGATTGTGGAACTTTTATGAAGGTCATATTTGTTATTGAAACTCCTAAACTAAGTGTGTGGTCTGATTTATTCTTTGCTTGCTTGAAGCACTTCAACTTCTGCTGAAGGCAATAGTTTGTATACTTTTGCTTTTGTACGGCTGAGTGACAGTACATGCTCAATGCAAATTGTCTGTTTTTCACTCACTTTTTCCAATTTAGCAGTATTCTTGCCTATCAGATAGCTGTAATTAACAATTCTTTTTGATAAGGTAACTCTGTGCAGTTAGTATCCAGAGGATACTTGCAAGTACATAAAAAAACATATTTTTTGCCCTTTTATAAGAATAGAAAATGAAGGGGGCGAATAAAATCCACAATTACATGTATTTACAACTTCCATTTGACACCAAAAAGCTACAGACTGCAGGCATTGAAGTCTTCAATTTCTTAATTGGAGTGTAATTTTCTTAGAGAGCCAGGGGTCTATTGGAAACAACCTCTCTATCTTTGCAAGGTAGGGGTAAGGCTGCGTATACACTACACTCCCCAGACCCCACTTGTGGGATTACACTTGGTTTTTGTTGTTGTTGGGTGTAATTTCCTTAGAAACATCTCCAATTTATCTCTCCATCATTGCAGTTGCATATAATAGTGATGGTATTCCATATATTCTTACTTTCCTTTCCTGTCTTCGTTGGTTCCAACATTTGTTTTTTCTTCTACAACAACTATTTTCATAACTTCAGGGATCCTTTTGTTGGAGGGATTAGGAAAAATAATCTCAACATAAATTCTTGCTTAAAATAATACAGTGTTCGGTTGGAGAGGTTAGAAAAATAATCCAACGTAGGTAGAGTTGGCCGTATGAAAAAGTTTAATTACCTGGAAACATCTCCAATCATCACTCTCCATTATGGCAATTGCATATAATACCGATGGTATTCCATATATTCTCACTTTCCTTTCCTGTCTTCGTTGGTTCCAACATTTGTTTTGTCTTCTAGAACATCTATTTTCATAACTTCAGGGATCATTTTGTTGGAGGGATTAGGAAAAATAATCTCAACATAAAATCTTGCTTAAAATAATAGTGTTCGGTTGGAGAAATAATCTAATGTAACTAGGTAGCGTTTGGTTGGCGGTATGAAAAAGTCTAATTCCCTAGAAACATCTCCAATCATCTCTCTCCATTATGGCAATTGCATATAATAATGATGGTATTCCATATATTCTTACTTTCCTTTCCTGGCTTCGTTGGTTTCAACATTTGTTTTTTCTTCTAGAACATCTATTTCAATAACTTCAGGGGTCCTTTTGTTGGAGGGATTAGGAAAAATAATCTCAACATAAATCTTGCTTAAAATAATTCAGTGTTTGGTTGGAGAGGTTAGAAAAATAATCCAATGCCTATGTAGCGTTTGGTTGGCCATATGAAAAAGTCTAATTCCTGCATAACTAATGCAACATTTGGTTGGAAATGTAAATAAAACCTGCATTAAGTCATGCAGGAATCTTATTGATAAAGAAAAGTGATGCAGGAATCTTTGAATTATTTTACATAGGAATATAGGATAGAATGTGGAGTAAGAAGACGTGCTCTAGCAATACTGGAGTAAAAGTATTTAAAGATAGACATGCCTTTAAAGTATGTACTTCCTACATAACTTTTCCTTTGTATTATTCACCTCAGAGGAATCCCTGCATTATTATTCGATACATAAAAATCCCTCTATTGTTATTCACCCCATAACAATCCCTTTGTTATTATCACTGCATAAACAATACATGCCTTATAAATGCCACATAACTAGTATGTGAACCAGACGACCCTAAGTACGTTAGTTTCTCGACAACTAGTTAACTTGGTATACTACATGATTTGAAATTATTTAATATATTAAGTAGTAGTTTATCGAAAATAGTTAAATGGTGCACTACATAACTTGAAGTTTATATTTGATGCTAATTGAGATAAAAGCATACAAGGGAAGCAAATGGAATATGGAATTCCCTAGTATTTTCTGATATACTTCCTTACACTTCATATGGGGGGTTATTTTTGTTGAAGTCCATAGTCCTCCATCCTCTCCCTAATTAGCTGATATACAGGTTTATATGCTGTTTATGTCTCTACCACATCTTCATAAGCACTTCCCAACAATCTGATGATATGTTTACCGAATTTTCTAACACCAAACTCTTCTCTTTCACCGGTTCCTTTCCTTGTCTTATTGCGTTTATTTGTGGATATTTGTTTATTTTCTTTTTACACATAAAAACCGAAAACTAATAGGAAATGAAGATCTATAAGATGTACTTGTCTCCCTGAAAACAATTATAGGATATCAATTCTATTAGTATAAAAAATCTACTAAATAGAACAAAACAAAACAAGTCCTAATGTACATAATCAGGTACAAGTAATCTAGACAACATACTACTATATGTTTAGAAAATGTATACTATAAATATGTAATGTTTTTGAACATGTGATCTTATGTGTGAAATTAATGAATAAATGTTCTTATGTTACACCCTATATACTATTTCTTTGAATTCACATAAATAGACAAAAAGGGATAGCTTAGGGTCTTTTTGGAAAGCCACCCGGTAATTGGAATTCGTGTAATTACTAGGGTAGTAATTACACAGCCTAGTAATTACGAAGACCTATTTGTTTGTCATAACGTAATTACAGTGTAATTACAAGCGTACTGTTTGATTGCACAAGTGTAATTACATAGTTCGATTAAATTTAAGATGAATTAATTATCAAAACTTAAAAGTTAATATAATAAATATACGCCTATAAATAATTTTTATAAGTATAAATGATATTAGATTTGCTATTTGAGATGCATATTTTTTTCTTGAATATACATTAATTTGTAATCATATATTTATAACTAATATTGTAAAAATAATTGATTTATATTTTTCAAATTAATAATATTTAGTTTAATTAATTATATAAACTAAAAACATACGTTTTGTTAGAACAACATGGAATGCATGTTAATAAATTAATATTTGTAAATATAATGTCATAACATTATTCAAATGTTTGACAAAACTAATCTATCAATTACTAAAAAATGAACAACATGCAATGTGAAATAACAATCCAATACTACTAAAACAAGTAAATTGGAACCATAAATATAACACACTTTCAAAATCCAAAAAAAATAAATGTATATTTTAACATATGTCACATTCCAACATAATAAAAATAAGTTCCAATAGAACTTAAGATTTAGGAAACATAATAAGTTTATAACCTCATTCAACAATAAATTCTACTTTAATGACATCACTCATTATATGCGAAGTTTGTTATTGACTCGTTATTTTAATATTAGGAGGTGTAGTTTCAAAAACTAGAATAATAATGCAGTTACGCTAAATGAAGAAAATAAAACAAATAAGAAATAAACTATACGAGCAATTACATGGAATCACAAGAAGTAAAGGTAGAGAAATAAAAGAAAAATAATATAAAAAGAAAAATATATTTTAAAAATAAAAAATAAATTAATAAGTAAAAAATAAAAAGAAATTAAAATAATGGAAAAAAAAGTTATAAGGCCAAATACATACCTAGCCCCTTAAACTTGGCCCCTTAAATAGCTGGGAAGATGCTGGAGCTGAAGCAACTAGTAGAGATAGATGGAGGGCTGTCCTGGCTTGTATCTGGTGGACAGTTTGGAGGGAAAGGAACAATAGATGTTTTGAAGATAGAAACAATCCAGTGCAGAAGATCAAACTCAATTGTATTCTTCTTTTTTGTTTTTGGTGCAAACAGATTTACATAGAAGATACATTGACACTCATAGACATACTAGGATCTTGCTAGGTTTCGAATTAGAACATCTACTAATCCTCTCCATGTAAATCTGGTTTTCAGTGCAACCTATGTACTGATGTTTTTAATATATACAATAGTTACCAATTCAAAAAAAAAACTTGGCACCAATTTCCACCTAAACACTTTAGCTAAGATTTGTTCTAATTAGACATTCAAAGTCCAACAAATATGTGTCTATTAAACACATAACGATGATGGGCATATTGTGTGAATTGCACTTTTCTTGGGCGCGTGAAATGTGAAAGAATCATATTTTTGCTCCACCCGCTTCACGCATCATCAGCCGGAAATCTCACAACCAAAAAAAATCACCATCCTCTATCATCTCCATTAAGACATATCACCAGAATAGCCAGCTAAATCCAATCATGAATGATTTGAAGGTAGTAGGGTGGCTGTGGGGTAAGGTTGCAGTGGAGTCGGGTGCCAAAAGTGGTGGTCCATGGCGATACATATTATACATGTATATATAGATCATTATCAACAAATAAAGAAAAGGAAAATAGAATAAGTACAGCTGAAAACTTTTACTTCTTTTTTTTCACTTGGGAAGAACAAAGAACACATCAACTTTGGATAAATTCAAACAAAATTTAATACTCACAAATAAAATTTCCCTTTACAAACTTTAAAGTTTTCTTCTTCTTTTTGAGTATCAGAAAATAGTAAGTAGGGGCTACGGTGGGGAGACAACAATAGTGTAAGGGGCAGGCGCTATGGAAGAAGACAGGGAGTGGGGGTTTGCAAATGCTATCTGAACTATTGTTTGAGGTGGGGTGAGTTGTATGGAAGAAGAAAATGAGAGGTATGGTTTGCCAAGAAGATGACCCGTAGTGGAACGGGGCGGCCGACAGCGAGTGTTCCGCAATTTTAATTTTTTTATTATTTGCTGAAAAACCTTTTTTTTGGGGATTAGCTAAAGTTAAAAGCCACAAGGCTCTTTTTTAGTCGTTCTTTTTGACATGTCAGGCGTGTGAAATTCACGTATTATAGTTTTTGTAGTGGTTAGTCGTGATGGGTCTGATTGGTACAAATTAAATAATATTAGAGTGTTTAATAGGCACAAACCTTAGTTAAAGTGTGTATGTGAAAATTGATGTCAAGTTTAAGGGGTTGTATATGTATTTGGCCTATAAAGAAAATAAATTAAAATAAAAAGAAAAAGAAAAAGAAAAGAAATTAATAAGTAACCTTGTAATTACATAGTGTAATTACCGTCAATTCTCACGCTCCCTTGAGAATTGGATAGTGTAAGTACACCTCTCCAATTACACCCAATTCCATGCTGACCAAGTAATTACTCGGCCAGTCAAACATGCGAACCTGTGTAATTACACTCAATTACACCCAAATCTAATTCCTAGGTGGCTTTCCAAACAGGCTCTTAGTGCACTAAGCCCCTGTTGTTTGCAAAGTTCGAGGAAGGTTCGCACTACATCGGGTCTATTATCTTACTTACCTCGCATTTTTGCAAAAATGATGTTTCCCCGGCTTGCCATGACTTAGTCACACATCAATAACTCTTACCGTTGTACTTAGGCTCCCCTTCAACCTAAAATATATATGTAGATATTTTTACATGCTGCATAGGCACATTTTTATTTATGTATTGCAAAAGAAATATATGTTAAGCTGCATAGGCACATTTTTATTTATGTATTGCAAAAGAAATATATGTTTAATAATACTAACATATAGTGACTAATAGAAAAATGTTGGTGTTATATGTTTGTTACTAGCTTACCTAATATATACATGAATGTTGAATACAATGAATTCTGCACAAAAATAATTGAATATGCATCTAATAAAAGCAGCGAGAGAAACCCTTTTTCCTGATGTTGGATGTATGAGGAGGTTGCTATAAATAACAACAATAACAAGAAAACAATATGAATAATTATTTTTATCATCAGTAGTATTAGTCTTTGTAAAGGTGTGAAGAACCCTTACTTTTTTGATGTATGTGTGAAGAATTGTTTAGATGAAGAAATGGTGATCTCTGTTGAATTGATAGGTAACTAGCACATAAAGTTTGCAAATTCTATCATTTACTAGGATAATAGGATTTTGCCAAGCTGAATTTGTTGAATGGTGTCAGCTTGAGGTTTTCGTCTCCTAATCTTCATTTTTTCATTTGTCTTTGTTATGCTTTTGATGTACTTCCCGTGCAAATTTTATTTTCTCTTGATCTTCAGGTCCTAACCAGTTTGCTCATGTCAACTGTGGAAATTGTCGTACTATGCTGATGTATCCATGCGGAGCTCCATCAGTTAAATGTGCCATATGCCACTATATCACACACGTTAATGTGAGAATGCTAGTCCCTTCTTTTAATTCTTTGGTGGATGACTTAATGTTTCTGTATTTATGTTTTATTGTCTGTGGGAAAAAAGAGATAAGAATAAGAAACAGAACAGATATAAATCGAGAGTGTAGAGAGAAATTAAGAGAGGAGAGGAATAGAGAAGTGAGATGGAAAGAGGGAGCAACAAGGAAGTAGAAGGAGAGTAGGATACAATTTATATCCAAATCAATTTATCACGTGTTTTTTGGAGTGTCTCCAAAAAAGTAATATAGGTCATATTTAGAGGGTGTTTGGATTGACTTATAAAAAGTAGCTTTTAAGCTAAAAACCAAAAGCCATAAGTTGGTAATACCCAACTTTTGGCTTTTGGCTTATTTTTGTACTTTTTATGCCTAAAAGTAAGTGCTTTTAAGCACCTTTTATCATTGCCAAACACCACACAAACTAAAAAAGTGCTTAAAAGCCAATAAGAATTTAAAATAAGCCAATCCAAACACCCACCTAGTATGAAAAAACTGTGAACAATTTAGAGCTTTTAAACAATTTAAACTCTTAACTCTAGCCGCAAGACAAGAATAAAATCAAATTAGAATAAGTGATAATAACAAGTGATAAAATCTAATCTAGAAAAGCTAAACATAATCTATCTAAAAGATAAATATGAAAATAAATGTAAAACTACTCAGAAATCTATAAGAAAATCTCAAACGTACAATAGTTAATCTTGTTCCAATATAAAATCATTTTTGACAAGGATTTTGAAAAAGGCCATATTTGTCCCTCTACTATCGAAAATAAGCTACATCTACCCTCCGTTTTAGTTTCTTAGTATAACTACCCCTACCGTCATACTTTTGGATCATATTTGCCCCACCCATTAAATGGCTTGGTCCCATCTTTAAAAAAAACAGGTGGCTGGCTCTGATTGGATAAAAAACCCGCCCCATTTCTAATTAAAACCCACTCGACTTGTACTAATAACCCACCCATTCCAAAAGAAGAAAAAAGAAAATTGAACCTATAATCTCTCTCCTGCTTTTGAATATTCCTTTTGAGCCCAATCATAAGCAATAACAACTATATAGTGACAGTCAGTAGGTGACCCAGGATTTTCATCAAGCGGGTTCAAATGCAAACAAATAAATATACAAAGACACAACAAATTATTTTTTTTTATTAAAAAGGTGTAATTTTCTTTCCCTAAATTGTGTATATAAAGCTTTCCTAGTCTAAAAAAGAGAAATAGAAACTTTCCTATGTCGTATGTATATAGGAAAAAGAGAGAGAGCTGCATATAGGGACAAAAGAGTGCCCATAAATGCAGCTGACTGGTTTTGAACTTAAGTATTTTTAGAAAATTTGAACCCACTTTGCCAGTGGGCTGGACAGTGTCTTTGTGCTAAGCGGGTTCAACAAAATTATATAAGAGCATTTACTAGAAGAAAGATAAAATTTACCTTATATACACTGTTATTTTACGACGAAGCGGGTTCAGATGAACCCTCTTGACCTCACGTGGGTCCGCCCCTGGTGACAGTAATGTAGATTGTAACTCAAATGTGTTATCCTATAAGATGAGCAAAGTTGATGGTGGCTGCAACGTTTGTGGCACCTGGTTCAACTTTCCATTTTCTATTTCTTTCTTTGAAGTTTCATTTTCTTGAGATGACTGTAGTCTGCAACCATGTTTTGGATATTTTCCACCATTGTAATTGAAATAATAATTATATTGGGAGCTAAGTGGTTTGTACATTTGATGCTTGAAACTTCAACTATTCAAATTTATACAAATTAAGCCTAGATATTGGTGAATTTGGCCTCTGTAAAGAAACTTTCTTCCTGTAACCCATCATTAGCAGTTTAATGCATATGGGTTCAGCATGGTGCATTGATAGCTGTGGACCCTATGCATCAGTCAAAAGTAAAGTTTGGAACAGAAGGTTGTTTCAGTGGTGTCTCTTGCTTGCCATGGCTATAGTTTATTTGATGTTACATTTAAAATATACCCTTTTCCGCAGTGTCTCTTGAACCATCTTATTTCAAACAGATCCTTTTCCGTGCCCTGGACATATGCACATTGCCCCTGTTGAACAATGCCAAAGCAGCCATTTCCTGAAATGTTTCTCCTGCAGTGCTGTAAAGGCATTGAGCTTCTTCACTTGTGCTGAAAAGGCATTGAGGAAGGAGATGGGTTGGAATGAGTTCAATTTTCTTTTTTTGGAATTGGTGGGCTATTAGTATTGGTCAGGTGAGTTTTAATTAGAAAACAAGCTGGTCTTTTTTATCCAATCAGGGCCAGTCACGTATCTTTTTTAAGATGAGGACCAAACCATTTAACAGGTGGAGGGCAAAGATGATCTATAAGTATGGCGGTAGGGGTAGTTATACTAGGAAATTGAAACGGTGGTTAGATGTAGCTTATTTTTTATAGTAAAGGGGCAAGTACGACCCTTTTCCGTAGGGATATTCCAATATAAAATATTCCACCAGAGGGAGAACATTCGACTTTGGCAAGTAGGATTTTTGGTGCAACTCAAAAATATCAGGATGTATCGCCACCCATCATTATTCACGTAGTGCGTGTACGAAATATCAGTGTATAATGGATCAAATTCTCATTTGTACTAGGGTCTTACAAATCTTTAACATTGTAATAAAATTGAGAGATTTCCTTATCATGAACCCTACTTGAAGAGAAGGGGAGCTTTGGCGTAACCGGTAAAGTTGCTGCCATGTGACCAGGAAGTCATGGGTTCAAGCTGTGGAAACAGCCTCTTGCAGAAATGCAAGGTAAGGTTACGTACAATAGACCCTTGTAGTCCGGCCCTTCCCCGACCCGCGCATAGCGGAGCTTAGTGCACCGGGTTGCCCCGAACCCTACTTGAAGAGAAAAAAGAGCAGATTGATAAGGTATACATTATAATCTAAAAGATCCAAGTATAATTTAAAATATAAACAAGAAATTTGTAATAAATGTAAAATAGTTTGAAATCTATAACAAAATCTTAAAAGCTAATGCATTTAAAAAGAAATCCTTAAAATCATACAACAATTTATCTTATTCTACTATAACATCTCCTAGTCCACTGCATCCGCCACTTGATCCCAAAGTCTATTCGTAAACAAAGGTGCTTATCTAGCCATTTTGTTTCGTCACTTGAGAGAAGGGCTATTACAAAGAGGATGACTTGGAAGTCTCGTTCTTGTCTTTAAAGAAATTATGCATAGCTGTCCTCGGCTAGCTTGATATTATGGTTATTATCTATTTTTTTCTTTAGACTGCTTCTGCTTTTATTGAAGTGTTGGCTATGGAGAATCGTCAGATGCTGTAGTCTAAGATTTACAACATTTTTGGTTGAAATGAGCTTTGCTTGAGCTCAGATTCTGTGGTAGTTGCACCTATCTGTCGCTACTCATTAAAATTGAAACATTAGGACTGATAGGGAAATAATAAGATTTACAGTTGAGGTTAGAATTATCCGAGATGATAGCACCAGATAATTGAAACGGACTGTTACCTAAAAGACAGGTTATCAAGCTTCACAATAGGTTATGGGTTACCTGGGAGTGAGCAGCAGTTGTCTCTATTTAAGTCGCTTCTACTGTGGTTCGTCCAGTCTGCTCATGGTTTAAACCTCTAGTGATCGTGATTTAATTTATGCTTCTTTTCAAGGGTTGTCAAGCGACGATGATGGAAGGACATATTATGACAGATATTGAGGTCTTACATAAAGAAAGGTGGGAAGTGGTTTCATGTCAAAATATGGTCCTTGTTGAAGTCATGTTGGAAAGGAGAGGTTGAATCATGTTTTGCCTTCTGAGATCCATAATTTGGAGGCAGTTTCACCAGTTGCCGTGAGACTAGAGAAATTATGTTGTCTGCTGATTGATTTTGTATCTCATTTTGCATAAGTTCAGAGGTTATATGTCACAGGAGACGATTTTTGTGCAAATGCGTTACTCGTCTAATTCACCTTGCTAGCTTGGCTGTTAGAAACTGGTCTGGTTTCAGTTACTATTCATCGCTTGGGCAATTAGCATTCACATCTGGTTGAGATGAATCATTTTCAGTTTTAATGTGTCTACGTATCTCCTTGCAGGCCGGAGATGGAAGAGTCCATGTTCCTGTGCACACCCCAAATGGCGGTGCTACATCCTCTGCAGGACCCACTTCTTCAACAGTGAGTTCTTAATCTAGTGCATCTTACTATTTATTTGCTACTTGCGATTGGCCAACCAGAATTCACTTCTGAAACATTGTTTATCTGGTATAGGCTACAGCCCGTTCACAGAATCAAACCGTGGTCGTTCAGAACCCTATGTCTTTAGATGAAAGTGGCAAGTTGGTGTGTTTCTTTGATTTCGACCTCTGTTTATTCATCTTTTACTGCTCACATCTGATTCATTTTTTCTTGTGCTTCATTCGAGGTAAGTATTTCTGATAATCATTTTTACATTTGCTAGGTGAGCAATGTTGTTGTTGGTGTGACGACTACGACTTAGGATTATCTATGGAATGCAATAGCAGAAGGATTAAGATTCCTATGTATGTGAAGTCCGCTAGTTGAAGGGAGTAAGGTTTTTGTTTGCTTCCATTGGAACGATGAGTACAAAGGTGGTGCTATATAGATATGGTAATATTTAGAGCTAGTATCAAAGCATTTCTAGATTGAAGAACTGTACCAGATGAACCATTTGTGATAACAATCACAAAGTGATTGGAAGATTTAGGCTCAGTGATGTGTGATTCTTGGAGTCGGTAATTGTTGTTGTCAAATTAGATTCTGTGGTGTGAATACGCCCGATGATCCAAGTACAGAATGTTGATATGTACCATGTGTCCTCTTGTTAATAAAATTTAATCAGTTTGGTGTATATGATCATGACCTTACTGCTCTTAGGCGAGCTTTCGAAAATTAATTTTTTCTCGGAGGTACTGGGTAACTCTACCCACCAACACTTATGCAGTTGGGAATAAATTATCTAGTTTTGTTTGCCTCTACTTTGATTCAGACCGTCTGATAAGGTTTTATTTTGCTTCATTAGGCTACATCCTTGAGTGCGTGGAATGATGTTATTTTTACTTCGTTTTCTTTCACTTCTGTTTCTCTTTTTTCATGTCCTTTATCCACATAATTGACGTCTGTGCTTAGTTATTGTTGATGTATTAAACATATACCCATCCTTTTTCTTTGTCTGAGCATTTCTTTAGCAACTTCACACTTTAATAGTACTTTACACATAATTGCATCTCCAAGGGTGCACTATTTTTTGTGTTTTTTTGCTCCAATGGAACACCAAATCTTGCACCATTATAGTGCATGAATAATATTGCAACAAATTTGGTGCAACACTATTCATCAACACCAAATTTTGATTTATTATTATTTTATTCATTTTTTATTTTATTTTTTGGGACTTTTAGTTTATCATATATTGTGTATATAATTAATTTTTATATTAAGATCTTTATAATTTTAATTTTATATCCTATTTTTTTGATGTATTAATTTTTGTATATATTATATTTATATAAAATTATAAGTTAATTTTAGTATTATTATAATTGTATAAAAAGAAATATAACCATTATTTAAAAATGAAAAATGTAAATGTAAGATATCTAATGTTGCTAAAATTGAAAAGTGAAAACTAAAATTTAAAAAAGAAAATTAAAAAGAAAAGAGGTGCAAGATTAACAAAAGAAAGTTGAATTAAGGATAAAGATGCGCATTACACACTTCATAATGCATTAATCGAGCATTTATGGGAGAATAGAGGCGAAAGTTGAATATTTGTGTGATACTTAAATTAAATTTGACTATGATGTAATATTTATTTAATTATCTTTTATTAATGATTTCATTTTTAGTTGATTTATCCTTTAAAATAATTTTGTAATAAATGATTATATAAGTGGTGAATGTAAATTATATATGATGAATATGGAAAAAAGAAAAAAGATAGAATTTGTTTGAAGGAAATAAAAAAATAAAATTTAAATAGAAGATAATAATATAATATAGAAGAAAGAGAATAAATATTTTTTTTTGGTGTAAAAAATGGTGTAATGGTTGGAGTAAATTTGATGTTACACTATTTTGGTGTGAAATTTGGTGTTAGGGTTGAAGATGGTCTAAGGCGTCACTAAACTTAGTGATTTTCTGTAACTTACTCCTTATAAAAAGGAGTATGTATTAGTGGAAGGACAGACTAGCTAGATTACCCATGACATATATAGTAAAAGAAACAGCTAGTATACTTGATTCTATCTTTTATCAACGAAAGAAACATTACACAACACTTACAGTGTGTCACCTTAAGTCCAGGATTTTGGCTGCTAAGAGCTGCAACTGCTACATTTTTCTGGAAATGGATGAGACCCACTGGAAACAGGAAAGCATCGCCTACTTCAAGTGATTTAGTTATAAGGCGATTCTCGGGACAGCAGCCAGCAGGTCACAAATCCTACTTCTCCAGGACTACCAATATGAGCTCCATTTGGTGCAAAATCTAAACGCACCATAGAAATGCCAAGAGTCCTGGAAAACTGCAGTCGAACGGAATCCAAGTGCATTGCATGTGTTCCCTGCTACTGAGATACAGGTCATCTGCTTGTACCAGCTCTGGATCCTTGCAAACCATGCCATTGAGGACCACTGCCATGATTATATAAGTAGCAGTGCAATGTTATTCATTGGGCACTAGATTTCTCACCCTTTTAAGCTGAGTTTACATTCTATACACGACAGTATAGAAGAATTTATACTATCATGTCACAAAAAAAATGTAGGGAAACCTCCATGAAAATCAATAGTAAGGTTAGTAACTTGGAAAATAAGGTAGGTTACCTGATACAATATGTTAAAATTAATACATTGATAGTGCAAAAAATTATATATACTGTCAGTATAATATTAAATCCTTTTTTGAATATTCTCTTTAACAGAAAAGCAAATATAGGAAACCGTACCTGAGCTTGTGGAGTCAGCTACACAAAAATCTTGGAGTGAACTATGATCAGATGCTAAAGCAACTGAAAAAGTAATAAAGACCAGATCGAAGCCCTAATACAAAAAACCTTGAAGCCATTTCAACCTAAATTTGTTTTACTTGGAGAGAATTAATGAAATGCTTATAGGAACAAGTTGCAGATGAAAGCTTTCACCGACTGCATTTATATGTAGCGATGGAGAAAGAGAAAGTTTACATTGCTTTGTGCCGTCCCCAACCTTAACACATGAGTCGAAGAAAGAGTCTATTGATGCTCATTGTTAACAATAAAACGTGTAGTAAAATGACTGTCTCGTTATAAATAGAATTTTATTTATGGTGAATGTCTATATTTAGAGAGATTCTAGGGATATTACTTGATGGTTAAGTCATTCTTTCCCTATAAATAGAGGGTTCTATTCTATTGTAAATGATCCCAAATCAATAAGAATTATCTCTCTCTACTTTTCTCGGCAATGCTCTTCTTCTTTTATTGTTTTATAACACGTTATCAGCACGAGACTCTAACAAATTGAGTAGAAGTTTTTGGGATTGAGCATAATGATTGTCAATTGTTCCATGAACTTCCTTCATGATTAAATTCTGGATTTAAGGTATGTATTTTACCATATTTTTCTCTTTTATTCTATAATTTGATTTTAAATACAAGCAAAGAAAATAAATTTTGATTATAACTCTAATGGAATTAGTAAGAAATTATAACCACCCGAAGTGGTAAAATTTCTATGTCTTGCCATGATCAAAGCCATGTATGATCGTGAGCACAAGAAGTGGAAACCCGTCCCATTGAATTTGCTTCATGCTCATTCCCTTAAGAGAATGTGATAGCAGTATGTAATAAGTCTGAAAGAAGACAAAATTATTACTGTGAAGGTATCAATGGATGTGGACGTGGCAATAGAAGAAATTATAATCGTCATCATTGTGATAATGAGAATAATAAGGATTCTCAAAATAATCCTTCACTCTGTGAAAGTAATATTTGTCATTGATTTGACATGAGATTTTATAAAACACATATAGATGATCATGGTCCATTAATGATGTGAATATGAAAACATCTGATTTATGAATACATATTCATTCTTGGAAGAATATGAACGTGCTAGTGGTAGTGAATATACCACACTCACCTTTAGAAGGAGGTTTGAGATGATATAAGAAAATAATATCATTATTATGGCATAAATGGTCATTCGTCACGTACCTGTTGCACGCAAAAATATTTTGATAATGTGATTATTAAAGAATAGCATTAATGCAAGTAACATATCTTGCATATAATTTTGACCATAACCATAATGGTATAACTTTCTCTTTAAAAGAGATAGTCACCATACGGATGTTGATGAATATGTGGTAGTACCAAATTAACTGAGAGCTCAGGAAGAGCCAATTATACTATTTTGGAGAAACACAAATTGATTACCAATAAGGTATTGTGTTATAGTAAGTCTCAAAGAAACTTATTCAGTTTCCAAAGTATACGCGAAAGCGGTTGATTATATTGAGACTATAAATAAAGGAAAGATTTAATATCTTCTATTACTACAACTTGTAGCGGGATAATATGTATATGAAAAGCTACCCGCTTTATTCTCTAATTTGTACTACATAAATAAAAGAACATCACACTAAAGTGGATNNGTGATATAAAAACCCATATCATAATAAACTTGAAGTTTATAGATAATTGCACACGTCATGGTGTAAATCTGAAGTTTATCAATATTGGTAATTTATTCAGTTGGCATAATTGGTTTAGCGATATCAATTTAAGTATGATGTGCAAAAATAATAGATAATTCACATGGATAAATATTAAAGAACTAGAAAATTCTTTATGAATTCTCTTATATTGCTTGTTCTCATTAATTAATTGACCAACTAAAATTGGGATTGAATTTCATGAATGCTGGAAATATCAAAGGTGAATATGGGCTCATTCACCTGCCATGTATACCATATAAGATGCATCTATGAGATGGTTACATGTGCAATTATTATTAACTCGCAACATAGTGTTTTGCGAGGTAACTTGCTCAATAATTTAATTTCGAGCATAATTTCCAGATTTTCTATTCAAGAAGATCATCTTGATAAGTTGGTTTATATCACAGTTGGTTTAGCAAAATAATTTATTGAGTGCCTCCACTTAATAGCTAAACTATTGCTTATGAGAACAAAGTTATCTATATCAGTTTGATATACGTTATATACGAAAGTATATTACATTCTTCCCTCACAAGTGGTTCAGGGTCAAGAACCAAATAATTTCATCTTGTTATTATTGATGTGCGATGTATATTTTGATTAACACCATAATGCACAAAGATGGGTTCCCAAAATTGAGGAAGAAAGTTAGTTTTTCTAACATGAGAGGGAGACATGATAAACAATTGAGAAAAAGTTACGTGGAATGAATTATCATTTGTACATTTGGATCTTCGAATACGATAATATGAACTTGAAGTTCATAAAAAAATAATTCATTTGCAATATATTGTAAAGCATGCCAGACGCATTTGCTGATCCAAAGAAAATAACTATATTCTCATTGCAAATGCTCCTATTAAGTCCTAGAAGGACAAATTCTATGGTATGTTTAAAGCGTATAGACAAATCAGTTTCAAATAAACTTCTTGATAAAGAAGATGAGCAAATGATCATAGTAAAGGAGGCACGTGATCTAGAAGATCACATGACATAACACTTCATAAAATCTCAAGAGAGATTCAGGTACCTGAATATATGAATGAGGAGATCTCTATATTATGTCTATATGAAAATAAGGATGTTGGAACCGATATAAAATGTTTGTCGACGACATCTATCATAGCGCTAAGTATAGATGAGGATTTTA